TATATATAAAAAATTGATTGTAATTATAATCCAAAATAATTTTAGCAATATTTTGACTATAATCTAATCCAAAATAATGTTAGCAATATTTTGACTATAATCTAATCCAAAATAATGTTAGCAATATTTTGACTATAATCTAATCCAAAACTTAATACAAATGGGACGAATTAAAGAAATATTTTATTTTGCAAGTGGCAAATAGCGTAATACAAATTAAATACATTTTCTCTCTCCTCTTCTTATTATTTCTTTAAATTATTATTTTTTTATTGATTTCTATACCAAATACGCTTGGTGTTCATTCAGAAAATCAATTCACTTTATTTCATTGGGTACTTTTTAATTTGTTTGGTACAATATTGTTTAAAGTACTCTTTTTACTAATTTTACAATAATGTCATTTAATATAGTGTTACTATATTTGATAATGTCATGACTTTATAAAAAGGAAATAAGGTTATTTTTATAAAAAAACAAAAAAGAAATAAAATTATCTAATAAAAAACACATCTAAAATTATACTTCTAAAAATTCTACCCAAAACGTAGTTGTCATGCTCTGCCTTTTAGGGAAATGCAATTGATGCAATTTTTGTTTGAAAACTCACTCTTTAATTAAAGTACATTCATTGCTAATTTAATAAAATTTTCAAACTTCTCTGCATTGACTTTTTAAATAAAACTCCTTATTTTGAAACACATCAAAGCAAACACTTATTTGGGAAGGAGTACAATTTGTTAGAACTCAGCCAAATCTTTTAGGGTCCACAATTTGTTTACCAGATAAGTGATTTGATTCCATTCAGTGGACTAGCAAGGCAAGTTTCCCATTTAAGTTAGTCATATTGACGGATTGTGCCATTCTTTCTCCCATACATGTACTAGCAGTCTAGCACAAACATGTTGGTACTTTTGTTTTCTTTTTATGGTACGTGTGGTCGTATAAGGAAAATATTTTATTGGTTGTTGGATAACATCAATCAGAATACGCGTATAACCAAAAATAAAAATCAATCATAATTATCGGTCACATCAACCAAAATAAGAAAAAAAGATCGTAATGAAATGGCGATTTCCCCTTCAAAATTTTTATACCTTGACAAATTAATTGACCAAAGGACATTTTAAACTATGTAATTAAAATTGTAGGTGGTTAGGAACCACATAATTCAGATTAGGCTATACCATCAAACGTGTCACTGTTGATAAATGATTTTTGTACTGAATAATTGTGCTGAATTGTTAAATATAGGGTTAGAGTAGGAATGTCAATTTTTACCGTCCCGCCGGGACCCCGCCCCGTTAATAACGGATATGGGAACACTTATTATACCGTTGGGGCCGACATGGATACAAATTTTGTACCCGTCGAGGGTCACGGGGTGGGTAAGGGTTCAATATACATATCCTAGGGGCCCCGCCCCGCCCCGCCCCGCATATAATTATATTTAATATATATATATTAATAAGTTATTTTAGCGGCTTACCCAACCCATCTCTTACAATCCTAATTTGGGATGTAAACTTGGTATTAAATTTGCTTTTGTTTTGGTTATGGTGGAAGTTGGAGATTAGAACTTCTTGTGATTTGGTTGTATTAAATTTTTATTTTTGTTTATTATGTTCTTTGAATTATGCTATGTGCATGTTATTTTTTTTATTTTTGTTAGAATACATAATTTTATTTATGTTGTGTCATTCCTAGGCTTTGCACATTTAAATAGCAGGAGTTTAAGTTCCAAAAAGTGGGAGAAAAAAATTTGTTAGTGGGGCGGGCACGGGGCACAGTATTTCCTAACGGGGCGGGGTTGGATATGAAAATTCAACCCATCGCGGGTCTCGGGGCGAGCATGGACTTGACAAAAATTAAAAGGGGCGGGGCGGGATTTAGGGAAACCCTCTCCAAACCCGCCCCGTTGCCATCCCTAGGTTAGAGTTAGGATTTTAGTTTAGAGGCAAGAGTGTTAAAGAAAAAAAAAAAATTAAAATAAAAGGGAAAAAAATAGGAAAAAAATAAAAAATGTAAAAAAAATGCAACTTAAAAAAGAAAATATTAAAATTATATTTAACAAGGAAATTTTAACTTTTTTTTTTAAAGAAATTAGAAAAAAATAGAAAAATAAGAAATAATTTTTAAAATTAATATTTTTAGGATAGCCCGTCACCACATTGCATTAAAAACTCTTGAGACACTTCGTACATAATATAAATTATTTAAGTAATTGTTAATAATATAATTTTTTATTTTTAATTAATTATTTATATAATAAATAAGACAGTTGGTCATTCAGTTACTTATATTTAACATAAATAATCAATAAAAATTTAGGGCAAAGTACATAAAACACCTGTTGACTTGTAATCTTTTCCAGTAAACCCCTTGTCTATTTTTTTACTAAAAAACCCCATCAACTTGTAACTTTTTTTCAATAAATCCTCCTTGTCTAATTTTTTACCAAAAAACCTCCTTCAACTATCTGAATGGGGTAAAAGAGTTGATATTTGAACAAAAATGCCCTTTTATTTTAATTTTAATTATTCCGAATTTTAAAAATTCACATCTCACAAACTGTACATTTAAAAATTATAAATAATATATGTACGAAAAGCTTATGAAATAAGGATTGCAATAATATAATATTTGTACAATAAACCTTCATAACCAGAGAGAAATAGACAACCTAAAAATTTACTCCAACAATCTTATTATTATTATTATTTTTTAAATAGTAGAGATATTTACAAGAATATTGTCAAAACTATTCATTTGCATATAGAGCCTAATAGATAAAAAAATTAGCCCCAATAGAGATTGATTTCATCATATATCATAAATATTTTTAGTTAAAAATCATATATCATATTTTGCGTCAAAAACATTTTCATTCTTTTATAGACTCACCATTTAAAAAAATAATAAAAATGAATATTCGGTCTCTATTGGGGCTAATTTTTTTGTATGTTATGATCCATACGAAAATGAAAAATGAAAAATTTTTCTTGCAAATAATCCAAGTATTTTATAAAAAATAAAATAAAATAAGATTGTTACAGTAGATTTTTAAATTATCTATTTTTCTCTAGTTATGAAGTTTTGTTAAACAAATCTTATATTTCTGTAATCCTTATTTTATAAGCTTTTCGTGCATATATTATTTGTAATATTTAGATGTACAGTTTGTGAGATGTTAATTTTTGAAATTCGAAAAAATTAAAATATAAATAAAAGGACATTTTGGTCCAAATATCAATTCTACGGAGTTCTTTGATAAAAAATTAGTCAAGAAAAATTTATTGAAAAAACTTACAAGTCGAGAGAGATTTACTGAAAAAGACTATAAATGGAAAGAATTTTTCTATCCTTTACCCAAAAATTTATTTGAGTAACAATTCAATGCACGTCCCATGAGTATCACTATTAGTCTTCTAGTACAAATTAATACTTCGATTCAATAATATTTGACCAAAGGACATGTCAGACGACTACCATGTCTAATCCAATATAAACCATCGATTTTTTTTTTTTATTTTTAAAACTTTAGCTCATAGTTAGTAAAATACGATACGAAAAAAATGCGAGTACGAAAACGTATGAATATAATTCGATATTTTTTTTAAAATACGTTTAAAAAATTCAGCAAAAAAATACGAAAATATAAAAATACAAATATAAATACGTACGTATATAATACGTTATATAATCTAAAAATTTGGGATAAAAAATTCGGTTATACACATCTTATTATTTTCTTATTTATATATATATATATATATATATATATATATATATATATATATATTTGTAAGGACAATAAAGAATATGTAACAAATAATGGAACAAATATATTACAATTAACACTATCACAATAATTATAAAAAAAAAAATTTATAAGTATGTAATATTCTACTAAAACATCTAGTTATAAGGATGTAATATTCTACTAAAACATCTAGGGAGTGTGGTGATCTACAAACTTCTAAAATGATAATAATAAAAAAAATATTACCTAAATTTAAAAAGATCTCACAACAAAACAAAAAATCTATAAATATCTACAAATATCAATAAAAATTTATGATTCTTCAAGATTATAGTGTTCCACAAATATATATATATATATATATATCTTTCATTGCTTTGATTAAAGATCATAATTGAAGTGACAACAATAAAAGATTGCACAACAAATAACATTATTTTGGTGGCTTGAAAAATAGTGGTCATACCAAGCAAAAAAGGGTAGAAAACACAATAGTTTGCACAACAAATAACATTATTGTGATGGTTTTAAAAATAATGGCTATACCAAGTACAGGAGGATAGAAAAGATAATATTTTTGTGTTTTAGAAAAATACACTATGAATTTCGTAAACAAAAAAAATAATAATTAGGTTACGAATTAAACGGAGCAACCTAAACGAATAAACGCGTTAGATACGGAATGATGAAAAAAATGCGTATCCGTTTAATTCACGTATGATCGTATCATACGTGAATTACCTAACTAATTAGCTTAGTTACTTATTTATATATTTTTAGGTTCATAGAACTACAATTTGTTGAGTCGGCTTTGGCGATGAGATGATGTCAAACCTCTTTTTAGTTTTTTTTTTCCATAATAAAATCGCCCCTTTTTTTTTTTTTGAATGGGTAAAAGCTAAAATCGGCCTTCTTGCTGCCACGCCAAGAAAAGGATTCTCCCTCTATGTTAAATAGCACAGAAATTTATCCGCTTCTTTACGTGGTATACGTGCAGAGTGGGACCCACCACAACATAACACTTCTACTGTTTTAACGAAATTAGGTCTCTTCAAATACTGTGGCCCACACAATACCATATCATCACCGTCGATGTTTCTACACAACGTCGAAAAAAATCATCTAACGGCGGAGAAACACAACTAAATGATAACTTGCAAGGTACAGTGGTGCTACCGTAATTTATTAGAAAAGCAGGGGCGTTGAGTTGATTCCTCGTCTTCGATGATCTCTCTACTTAGCAAGGCGCGAAGTGAGAAAGGGGAAAAATTCTGTGTATATCGATCTATAGATTTTCTCTTTCTAAACATACTAGGACTCTCGCACTCAAACAGTCTCTTTATATCCATTTTTAGATGGAGACGTGAACAAAACAATCTCCGAATTGAGCCCGTCGATGAAACCGATCGTCGACGAGCCCTAAGCGTTTCTTTTTCTATTTTTCTTTCGATCGATGGAATCGTCGCCACTCGCCAGATATATTCCTCATAAATCGAAGTAAGTCTTCTTTTTCTTTCTGTACAGATATATATATTTATGTATAAAAATATTTATATGCATATGCTGATAGTTTTAATCGGCGATCGGAGCAGGAAACGAGTGTTCCCGGGTAGTAGTTCTTCGTGTATGGACCCGGAGGTGGTCGAAATCTCTCCGCCGATTACTCGGAGTTCAAAATCTAGGTCGCAAAAACAAAAAGAGGTAAAATCGATTCTTAGAATATAACTAGCACATTATGTACTTGTTTTATTTGATTGATGATACGTATTTCGAAGCAAAAAATTGCATGGCACGAATTGCATTCAGTTGGGTAAGGACACTCCCTTTTTTAAATTAATTAATTCCAACAAATTATGTTACTTGAGCAAAATTTGATTGCTTTACATCATTGAAGATACTTAGAAGCACTCTATTGGTTCATTGGCATTGGGTAGATGTTGTTAAATAACACAAGAGTTGCTTTATAGAGAAGGGATTTTCAGAAGCTTAACGGCTTATTGTCTGCATTGATGTGGAGGGTTCTGGGTTTTGAAGACTGGATGACTGTGTATCATTAGGGCTAGATTACTAATTTTCTGCTTTCTATTTTTTTTTTTTTAAAATTATTTTTATATATAAACTAAGACAAAATTGGGACTTCGAGTTTGCAGACACCCTCCAAGTCAATTGAGCCCTGATTCCAACTGGTTATAGATTGAAAACTCGAAAGGATTTTAGGTCCTTCACAAGTTGCGATTATGAAAATAAATGAGCCGTATACTTCATGTAAGTCTCCAAAAGAAGGGTTTTGCCTTCACATGGATTTTACCTCTTCATATGTCTCAAAGACAAGACAAGTCAAGGGGATAGAAAGAGTTAAAAAAATTATTTGAGATTTAGATAGTTGAACATGCCTCCATGATTATTACATAGATATAAATAGATGTAAACTGCACTATTGTCAATATGATGAATTTGGGAGTTGCCCTATATCTTGCCTACGTGAATAAATTAATGGTGTGGTCTGATATCAAAATGATGTTGTACTTAGTTGAATGTTAAGAGTTAAGACTATAGATTAAGGTTTGTGAAAGGGATTGAGAATAGGTGGTTATTAGTTTTCAAGAAAGAAGATCCCCTTGTGACTTTTGAGAGAGCTTATTTAAATGTTCTCAAAAGGATTTTTGATTCCTCTCCCTCCAAATGCTCGATCAAAGGCCTAATAAGATTATCAACCATACTACTTTCACTCTCCCCCCCACTTAACAACCCATCTAACTAGTGAGCACATCTCAAGCAGGTTTTGGTATCACCTAATGAAGGCAACAGAAATAACAAGAGGGCCCACATTCCATGTTGTTTGGACAATATGACAACGTGTAACGACGCTCACCCTACCCGACACACTATTATCTGCTTTTGGCTCTCCCAAACTAGAAACTTCCCAGAAGGTTACCATCCTGGTATTACTTCAGGTTAAACACACATAACTCCGGAATTCAATAGGTTTATGGCCATCATAGCTTTAAAACGTGCTGTGTAATAGAAGGGTGATGAACCTACACATAACACTTCACTCTTCCACACCCAGGCAATGTGGGAATTGTGAGCACATGTAACTCGCACCAGAGCCTTGCTTCTCACAGGCTTGCTCTCGCCTACCGAGCCTCACAATTTCACCTCCTTGGGAGCTTGACGTCCCTTTCGGCACACTTCCAGTTGGGTCAAGCTCTGATACCATTTGTAACGGTTCTCACCCCACCCGATACAATATTGTCTACTTTTGGCTCTGCAAAACCAGAGACTTCCCAGGAGTCACCCATATTGGTACTACCCATATTGGTACTACTCCAGGTTAAACACACTTAACTCTGGAGTTCTAATATGTTCACGGCCATCACGGTTTTAAAACACATTTTGTCATAGAAGGGTGATCGACCTACGAATAGCATTTCACTCTTCCACACCCAGACAATGTGGGAATTGTGAGTACACGTAGCTCGCACCAGAGCCTTGCCTCTCATAGCCTACTCCCACCCACTGAGCCTCACACAACGAGTGAAAATTTATTCTTCATCCCTGTTACAAAAAAAATTCAACTCACTATGAGCTATTTCATTTTCCAGAGGTTATTATTGCCAATGTTTTTCTTAGGATTGTGGTCCAACCAAAAAATGCAACTTTAGGAGGAACTTAGTGTGAGGCACCACCCTTTAAGGAATTCTTAAGTGCCCATTCCCTTGAAGTTCCTTGAAGAAAGATTTTGCCTCGGATCCCCTTTGATGTCATATATTTTATATGATTCTTCCTATTTAGAAAAACTCGGGCTACAAATGAAGAAAGGTGACTCGAGCTTTGTGTTATTTGGGCTTGGCTCACTAAGGCCCACTTGGGCTCGGGTCGTGTGTGGACACGCTTGGCCTAGCTGGCTCAGTGACATTTAACGAAACTTGGGGTGGGTTTTGCTCATGGTCGTTTGTGTATATAAAATATATATTACAAACAAAATTCATTTACGTAAATTAAGATTTGTATTAGGGCTGTAAATGAGCTGAGCTATGCTTTGGGTTGTTCGGGCTCGACTTGTCATCTACATAAAGGTGTTCGTTCTCAGCTTGGGCTCGGGCGAGCTTGGCCTAGCCAAGCTCGGGCTCGGCTCGGTAAAGTTTGATAAGCTCGGGCTCAGCTAGGTTACATACCCAAGTATCACCAAATCAAGAAATCACAGCGATCTTTGTCATGAAATCTGATATCCATCTTCGACAACAAATACAGACAAGATGAAATCAAACATTTCAAGATTCTATGGACTCAATACAGAGCAAAAATTCAAAATGAAATCAATCATAGAAAACAATTTCAAGATGAAATCAAACCTTAACAAGGTTTTATTGACTTAATACAGAAAATTTAAAGATGAAATCAAATCTTACGACGTCTTATTGACACAATACATAAGAAAGTTTCAAGATGAAATCAAACGATTCAAACCTTACAAGGGTGTTTTTTATTTATTTATTTATTTTTAAAACTAGATTTACATATATGTTGCACTGCTTGAACTTAATATCCATGAGAGAGAGAGAGAGAGAGAGAGAGAGCCGTGTCGTGGAGGAGTTGCTGGTGGGATCATGCGGTGGAGCTGAAGAGGACAATTGCAGTAGACTTTAGTTCTAGGGGTTTATATTCTTTATCTTTAATTCTAGCAAACCAACGGCTGAGATGTGCTAAAATTTAATGGCTGAGATGAAAACTTATTTGGATGATGGGCAAATGAATTAATAAGTGTTTGGGCCTTACTAATAAAATGATGTAGGTTGGGCCATGCTTGTACTCATATGGGCGAAGCCTTTTAAATATAGAATGGTTACAAATGGGCCTATGTGTTAACGAGCCTAATGAGCCGAGCTTAGTGTTGCTCAAGCTTGGCTCATTTTCTGAACGAGCTTGAAATCCAAGCTCGGGCTCGGCTCGTTTACTAAACGAACGAGCTTGAGCCGAGCTTTTAACAAACTGAACCCGAGCTGTTCATGAATAGATTGGTTCATTTGCAGCCCTAATTCCACACATCTTCAAATATATAAACGCACATATTTACATATAAAACACAATTCATATGGATTCATAAATGTAGATATATATGTATATATGCCCACAACTGATTGAGAATAGCCAATGACTGTCCTTTGAGATTTCAGATCTGAAATGAGATACGTAAAAAAAAACCATCTGGATTTTCAGATTTGAGTTTATCGTGAAGGGTTAGCACTTTTTGGTGTTAGGGCTGTGGTTAGCTATTAGCAGCCAGATGCTAAAGAGTGAGAGCTAAGATCTTTTTGTCCTCACCAGTCACCACTTTCATTGACTGAGATGTGAGATAATATAGATTTGAAAGAGGTGCTGAAATTTGTTACTAGAGATACGAGAGATTAGGAGCTGAGACTTGAGAGACATAAGGGCAAATGAGTCGAGAGATAATAGAGTCATTAGAAATGAGAAGAGGTTAATTTCTCTAGATCTTGAAACTTCTGATTTCCTTTCTCAAGCACACGTTGATTCTGTTGTAATTGCCTCTGATTATTTGTGATTCCATGGTTTCCACCTGATTTGTGCTATTATTTTCTTTTGTGCCTGGATTGATGTCTCTGGATGCTAAAATTGTTGAAGTAACCAATTTTTTGTAGGTTATGCACCATGAAATTATCGATATTGACATGGATGAAGATTCTGTTGATGTTATGCTCATTGATGAGAAAGTTGATACAAAAAACAAAGGGAAGGTAATAAAACATATGTCTGATAGCTACTTTAGTGATCAAGTCATTTGTTTAAAATTAAATGTCCTAGCCTGGTTATCAAAAAAAAAAAAAAAAATTAAATGTCCTAGCTGATAACTGGTTTCCTTATTACTCGTTGTTGTTCCTACTGGATTTGTGCTCTAACATTAAACATGATGAATAACATTTGTCTTTCTTTTCTTTTAGGAAGCTTTGGCCAATTTTTCAAATGGTCATGGTGGTGCAGCAAACCCTATATCAGTGGAAGGGGTTCAGTTTTCTAAGAAAAGTTGTGACTCAGGACTGCGTAATTCCAATAATCTAGAAGGTTTCAGTTCTGATTTGTCTTATGGTGATGATGAGTATTTGGATATATATTATGATGATTTAATGTATGACGATGACTACACAACTCTGCAAGCACATTTTGATAATATAGATATTCCTCCTGGAGTTGAGGCTCCCATTCCTTGGTTGTCTGATAGTGCCCAAAATAAGAAGCTGCCAGCTACTGCAAGTAATTTATCCCATTCAAATTTGCAACCGGCTTCTGTGGGTACTCCTTCTGGAACATATTCGTCCCCCTCTTTGTGGTTTCCTGAACAGGCCCAGATTAAGAAAAAACCAAGTCCAATGAGAAGTTCGAGGCGAACTCAAGTAGGGGCATTGAGTCACTCTCGTGGGGTGGAGCCATCGCCATCTTGGTCATTTCCAGAATCTTTGCAAAGTAAAAAGATTAGTGCTTCATCTAGTTCAGCTTATTCGAGTTCGCAAACCCAAAAGGATGCTTTGAATCTTCCTCCGGGGGTAGAACACCCAAGATTTGTTTCAAAATCATCCCATGGTAGAAAGAAGCTTCCTGTTTCTTTCAGTGCAGCTCATCATAATTCGCATAAACAATTGGGCACTGTGAAGTTATCTCCTAATTTTGAGCCATCTTCTGGTGGGTATGTTTCCTCCAACAACCTGAAAAATCAAGTCGGTAATGGAAGTCTAACTCATTCAGGTTTATTTTTGAATCTTCCTCCTGGGGTGGATGCATCCAAAACCATATGGCAGGATCCTCCCTTTATTTCAGATTTTTTTGTGCCATCAGATGGTGTACATACCTTTCCTGAGGGAGAATCATATGTTCCGTGGGTCCATGATCCGAGTCAAATAAATGATGCTGCTGGAGGCAGTGCAACAGTTCCATTTGAATCAACCTCTAGCAGGGAAAAATGTGGGAGTGAAAAAGACATTCTGAATAAGTTCCAGCTTTTTAAACAATTTGATACTGTCCAAGATTCCTCAGATCATCATTATTCTCGCAACGGTTCTTCAACAAAGCAGGTAAATGTAGTTTTCGAAGATGATTTGCATGTATTTATTTTCTTTATTTTTATATGAATATTATTGTTTACTGTTTTTTGACAGCCATCAAAGACTTGGGCAAAGAAAATACAGGAAGAGTGGAGGATTCTGGAGAAGGATTTGCCAGGTAAGTTACTTTTCCCAAATTATAGTCGTAGTAATAATTTTCTTCACCTGATGTTTGGACTAATTTTTTTTTGTCCTCCTGTGAAGTCCTTGTCCCTGGATGGTAAAGGTTTTTTGGTAGAAAAGTGTAGAGATTTCTTTAAGATGTCAATTCATGGAATAATAGATGGAGATCTACTATTACTTAAGACCTATTGACCTAACCCCCCTCCCTCCCGTTTTCCTCCAACCCTGCCTTTTGCTGAAATTCATCACCTTTTAACTCTTTAGTGGAGATCTGTGGGTTCAAACTCGTCTCTCACATTTTGTTCCTCTTGTTATCTCGTCAACAGATACAATATTTGTTAGAGTTTATGAATCAAGGATGGACCTATTGAGGGCTGTAATTGTAGGAGCTGATGGCACTCCCTATCATGACGGTCTCTTCTTCTTTGATGTTTTTTTCCCATCCAACTACCCCAACGTCCCACCGGTATGTGACTAAGCTTTTTAGTATTGTGCATCTGGTGATGATTTCATATGTTTTTTTTCCTGACAATATGGTACCTATTCTAACAGCATGTGTACTACCATTCTGGCGGCCTTCGAATTAATCCAAATTTGTACAACTGCGGAAAAGTATGCCTGAGCTTACTTAACACTTGGAGTGGCAACCAGAATGAAAAGTGGATACCTGGGGTATCAACCATGCTACAAGTTTTGGTGTCTATACAAGGGCTGATTTTGAACGCCAAGCCCTACTTTAATGAGCCTGGATATGCAAGAATGAGTGGCTCGGAAAGTGGAGAAAAGAGCTCTGGACAGTACAATGAGAATACATTTATTCTATCTTTGAAAACAATGGTGTACAGTATGAGGAGGCCACCAAAGGTAAGATAACAACAATTTTCACTCCTGTACATTGTAAATAATTTGAGCCTTGTTGTGAATCCTTTGGATGTGGCAATTGATATTTGATTTTAAAGTAGTTTCAAGTTTCTATCAATATGCGCCACCAAAATAGAGTTAGCTTACTATACAAATCTCTTTATTCTTGTTGAATGATCTATCTAACTTATGTTGTCGAGGAGACAAAATTTTAGAGAATCGTTTTTGAATCAATAAGTACATGATTTTCATATGTGCAAAGTGGACAATGCTCTTGAAAGTTTTGTGAAATTATATAGCATATTTTTGTATGGTATGCACTTATAGGAAAGAGAATTGGTTGACAATTCGTGCATGTGCTACCAGGTTTTAAGCTGCAGCCGCTGACGTAGTAACTGGGATAATGTAACGTTTTTCCATTGCTTTGTGAAGTTTTTTTTCACATTAATAAACTTGTTCCAAACGATTAAAATGCTAGGACATTTGCAAAGAACACTACTAACTCCACCATTTAAGAAGAGTGACATGGTCACATTGAGGGTAATGCTAGGGGCTGGGGAAGACCAAAGTGGCATTGGTATAATTAGCAAGGAAAAATATTATAACATTTGGTTCGAATGAGATGTGACCTTTGATAGAGTAGATTGAAAAACACAGGATCATGTGGCTGTCCCCAAGTAGTTGGAAAGGCTTTGTTGAGTTGAGTTGAGAATAAACTTGTTCGAATGAAAAAATAGGATCATGTGGCTGACCCCAAGTAGTTGGAAAAAGGCTTTGATGGGTTGAGTTTGAGAATAAACTTGTGCAAAATTTTAAGGGTGCTGCCAGCAATTATAACTGTACTAATTTGTTCTTTGCAGTATATTTATGGCCACAAATGCATGTTAAAATAAGAGATCAACATACTATATCCTCAAAAATCATATACACTAGTAACTTACAAGTTCAAAATTAGTATTCTGTTTGTTATAAGTGTGTTGAGTGATATGTGTGCAGTATCAAGAATTTATTTGTTTATGATATTTTTTTTGTAATTTTTATTTATTTATTAATCTAGTGCAATTTCAAGTGTACTACTCCCTCCGTCCTAATTTACTTGCCCATCTTTCCTTTTTAAACTGTCCCAAAATACTTGTCCACTTACTTAAGTTCAAACAAAATATCTCATATCTTTCCGTAAATATTCTTGAAGTTTTAAAAATTTTAAAACTTGATGATATATATATATATTCACACTTAAAAGGATAATATAGTAATTTAATCTGTCTGATCTACCTAACCTTAGATTATTTTTATTTTCTTCAGGATTTTTGTATTAAACCTAACTTTTCAAATAGACAAACTTTAGATGAGAGTATTAGGTAGCATTTGGCAAGACTTCCAGATATGGTTTACAGCCCTAAAAGTTCTTTGAAAATATAAGTACTCTTCTGTGATTTGATGGAGTTTAGAGGAAGTCCTAACGGTATTTTATCAGAGGAGGTTAAGAATACTTCTTATGTAATAAATAAGATTTCTAATATAGTCCCCAATAACTGGCGTAGAATGTCTTACCTCGCTCTAGTTTTATGTTATAATGACAAAGCAATCCTATGTTTCGAAGAAGATGGATTGTGAATCCATAAAGAAACATAGTGGCAGAACGTGAAAGGCAATCTTAGTACCGTCTTCCTACATTTTTTCGTTCCCTATTTTCTTTTTCCTAATTTTCATGCCTTATCGGTTCTTTTTGTTTTCCGCTAAGTTCGTTCCTCTTCTTCAATCAAACTGTTCTCTTCCCCCTCTCTCTCTCCACATATATGTATATATATATATATATATATATATATATGTCTGTCTGTCTAGCTGTCTATCTATCTATTTGTTTGTGGTGTACAAGTAAAGGGCTATTTTTTGACACTAAAAAAAAGTAATTTTAACTTGCAACGCCCCCATATACATGTGCGTGCATGTTTTATCAGTCTTCTCCTTTCTTTAAGGTAGTTTATGTGACAATTTCTCCTGGTTTTTGTAAGCTCGAGTTTATGATATCTCTATTATAAGACAATGCAGGACTCTGTCTCTCTCTTCTTTTGTCTCTCTTCGATCTTTCTGTCCTTTTCTCCCCCTCTGATTTTTCTCTGTTCTCAATTAGGGGTGGCAATTTGTGTTGGCGTGTTGTGTTCGTGTCGACACAATTACCACACAAACACGACACAATTATTAATCGTGCCTAAGACCCCTGACACGAACACGACATGATTATTACACGTGTAACACGACACGACACGCGTAACCTGTTTAATAAATGGATCAAGACTTGATATGACACGTTTAAGTCATTTTTTACACGAACACGATATGTTTATTCTACATATTTAGCTAAATGGGTCATTTTTGGCACGAACATGACACATTTATCTAATACGTTTAGTTAATCGGGTTAATCGTGTCATAATCGTGTTTACAGGGTCAAACACGACACGTTTATTTAGCAGGTCAATCCGTGTCGATACGATTACGACACGAACATGATTAGCCCAAACCCAAACCCTCTTATCTTGTGTCAAATATTGCCTCCCCTATTCTCAATTATTGTACTTAAATCCATTCATATATGACTTGTATTTTTATTTATATTTATTTTTATATAATTCAAGCCCAGAATCGCTTTTTGTGTCGCTTCAGGGTTGACTTTGTCTCTGGTCAAGCCCTGCCACATAAAATTATATCCGTGGAACATCTAGAGGTGTTGTGTTCCAAGTTATTTTTGGACATGCATGTTCGCATCTGTGTTATAGGGTTTTGTTTAGGTGCCTGGGCTCCTTTTTAATTATTTATTAAATTTTTTTGTGCTTTGGGCATTTAGCATCTAATCATCTGAAATTATTTTGGCTGCAGTATTTTGAGGACTTCGTTGTGGGGCATTTTTTCAAACGGGCTCATGATATTCTGGTTGCTTGTAAAGCATATATGGATGGTGCTCAAGTAGGATGTCTTACCAATGGGGGAGTTCAAGATGTTGATGCTGGTGACAGGAGCTGCTCACAGTATTTCAAACAAAATTTGTCCGGGTTTATTAAGACGCTTGTGCAAGCATTCACACAAATTGGGGTAAAGGACTGCGAGAAATTCGTCCCTCCTGCAGAAAAGGGAAACAGAATAGTGCCTCCTGCAGCAAAGGGTAACAGGCTACTATTGCCTCCTGCAGCAAACGCTGCAAATTTTTATTTTTCTTGATGAAAATGCAATTTTGAGAATTGACTTGACAATCTGCATGCAAGACAGACATGCAACCTAGATTTCTGTTTTTCTACAGAATAATTTTGTCTTAAATTACGCACCTTGGTTACTTAGGTTGCTTCAACGTATTTGGGTATGTATATAGGTGTAGATACGAATGGTGGATTACAGACTACATCTAATTTTATAAATTATTGATGGTATGATGGAAGGGAATTTACCCTTTTATGTTTGCGTGTGTATATAGGGCTGGCAGCTTCATATTTGTAATTTCTTTCATTGTGTTGGGGGTAGGTATTTGATTGCTTTAGTTATCAAATCTAAGATTTGAATACATTCAAGCGTCATTAATGTGGTGGCGGTGGATAAGCAGAGCTAGTGCCAGCTAATGCATGGCGATAGCCGTGCTTTGATTTGATGGAAATGGGAAACGAGAACTTCATATTAGTTTACGGTGTACCTATTTGTACGGTATTCTGGATTTAACTTCAGTTGCCATCCATTTTTATTATTGAAATCAAAATTGTAAATCTCATCTCAGTTCTGATAGGGGGTTCAGCGATTGTGTGATGCTCCGACCAACATTTGTTGAGGTACTGATTTTTGTAGGTTACATGATTGGTTTTGGTAGATGATGCATCAAATCTACTCTTGCATTCTACTACCTAATTGTTGTTGTTCCATAAATTTTGGTTAACATAATATTCAAAGTGTCATCCACTATTGACAAGTTAACTTACAATTGATGGCTTTCTTAGTTTTTTCCATGGGTTCTATGTTGTTGTAGATTGGTCTAAAAATAGGACCACCACACAAAATTGACATGAGGGTCTGTGTTCAACAAGACGTGGAAACCCGACTTTGTTATTCTCTCAATTTGTGTGTGGGACAGAAATGCAAAGTCTCATCTTGTATCTTTCGGTCTTTTGTGTAACCCCCTTTGTCATTGTTGGAAATAACATTTTTCCCTCACAACCACCTCACTCAAAAGAAATCCTTTTATACAAATAACAACATGGATTTGTGAAGATTGAGGGTTTAATTCTCATAGGACAATGTGTCATGAAAGTAGAAGTTTAAGGTTTAAATCTATGTAAGGACAAAGTGAGTGCGAGTTTCTTGTTAAAAAATAAAAAAATGGTTCCTCATATACACGGGTATAAGTTGAAGACTTGGTGTGGATTGCTAAGTTGCCAACTTCTTCTTCTTATTCTTCATAATTTCTATCTCAAATATTAACAAAATCAAGCTTGGAAACTTGGTCTCAATTTCTGGACGGCGAATACTTACACCTACCTTTACTTAAATATGGGCTTGTAAACACCAAATTATGTTTCTGATTAGAAAATGTTATGATATTGTTCCTCTGATAGGTATTTAAATATGGACCCACATATTTGTTATTGATTTGAAACAGTGTCTATCAGATTTTTGGACCAAACACATATTAAGTATGTTTCAAGGTTATTCAATCTTAATAAACACGTGATAAAAAATAAAATAAAAATTCTTCATAAAACATCAATTCCATTCAATTTTTTTCCTTACTATAGACACGGATTTAAGGATTTTATTTCCAAACCACCAAAGGCTGTGTGGCCTCTTGATGCTTTCTGCTTTCCAAATTAGAAGGTCAATAATTCCATAGTTGGTTTTTTTTTTTTTGGGTCATTGGCAAAAATTCACACACACCCAACTCCCTTGATATTTCAATAGGTGCAAATAAGTCTATAGTAAACGCCAATATGGGATATGGCGCCACTCGTTTTTTAATTGAAAAAATTAGGTAAAAGTGTTAAAAAAATTCTTGAACTATCACCAAAAGCGAAAAATATTCCTTGAACCATTGGGGTTGCAAATCGAACCTTCTTTTAAACCAACGTTGCAAAGAGGACCCTCCTGGTTACCGGACCACATTTTTTGAAACCCGGAGGGTCAAAATTACAAAAATACCTCCACTTATTAATTTATATAAAATTATAAAATATCATAAATATACAATACCTTTCAAGGGCCATATTGCAACTAATCAAATAGTTTAGAAGTTTTTTTTTGTAACTAATAATATTAGTAGTAGTAATACTAATAATAATTATAATAGTAGTAGTAGTAATAATAATAATAATAATAATAATAATAATAATAGTAATGAGGAGGAGGATTCCAAATTGAAGTTGAAGTACGGTGCAAGTTTTGAAGCGGCTGGAGCTACTGTTATATGCAGAAAAGTTGGGAGTATTGTCATTGCATGTAGCCTTTGCCTTTGAATTTCACATCCCCACGTTTGTAGGACACATATTAGTTTGGATTCCTCCAACTCGGCATTGGCGAACTTCTTCAATGTCGTCATGGTTGTGGCTTTGATATGAGAACCACAACATATACCAACAAGGAAGGCAGGTAATTAATGAGGCCAGCCGGTGGCTAGAACTATGATGAGCCCTAGAATGTAGTGAATTATTGTTATGGTAGTGAGAGGTGCTCCATTTGATATTGTTTGCACGTGGTGATATATTCTATCAATTTAGCTAATTTGCTTGGATTTTCCCTTTATCACAGAAGAACATTAAAGCAAAAGTCAAAAAACAAAATACAATTATTACGCATTGAATGAATTATCATAGGGCCTACGACAAATCGGACACGAAAGGGCCTTGCTTGTTTGAAACCATTGACAAATACAATGAGAATGGAAAGCATGGTTGCACAGTGGAAGAACTTGACACGTCTCGTCATCTTTAAAGTCCTCCAAACATATGGCACAATCATTATTAGATTTCCACGAGGAGCAACTTTTGTAATTCATCTCCGGGAGGCCATCCACTCTTGTCAAAACCTTCTCCTGCTCCACTTCATCATCATCATCATCATCATCACCACCACCGCCGCCATAAACACGATCAATAATTATCGCAATCCTGTGGATTGGGGGATTAACTCCTCCTCTTCTCAGTTGTCCTTCAATATCCACAATATTAATGGCATAGTTTCCAGCAGATTCCTCCCCAACCACTTCGTTTTCGGCTTGCCTACTGCAACATGCGTGGATCAAATAGAAAGAGACCGTAACAAGAATACCGATTACAAATACAAATATGTCGATCGTCATGTATATTTTAATATATATACATATGCACGAAAAGAGAGAGAAAGAGAGTGGTTGTGAATGACTGAATCCTGGGTTGTCAATATTGGAGAGGCAATGACGAACATTAATGTTATTATGGGCCACTATTGCTTCTACAAGAATGACAATATATAGATTGATATAAGGTTTCCAAATAAAGTTCTGTGCATATGTAGTTGGTTTATGATTAGGATGCAGTAGGAGTTACTTTCAGAGTTTAAACCCAACTTCCCATATGTAGTTGGTTTATTATCAGGATTTAGTAGGGGTCACTTTCAGAGTTTAGACCCAACTTTTCAAGGATTGTAAAATAATGATATCCAAAGGACTCACGCATTTAGGTGTCGTCATGTTTCAATTATTAATATACCACTTCTTTATAAATTTTATTTATTTTTATTTTTTGCATCCTTTTTTATATAACAGATAATTTTTTTATTTATTTTTATTTTTTGCATCCTTTTTTATATAACAGATAATTTTACTGATGTTTGGCCAAATGTCAATCTAAGAAAATAGCTATTAATTAGATTCATTTTTACTTTTCTGTTACAGTTTCCGTTAAAAGTATAAAAAAAGACAACTTTGCCCCTATTTGTTAATAACATTTATTTTAAAATATTAGATTAATTAAAGGAAAAATTACATATAAATGGAATTAAAGTTCCATATTTACTTAGAAACTGAGTCAAAGTTCCATATTTCTCTAAAATGGATTGCTGAGGTGACACATGGTTTAGAAAATTGTGGTGCCTAAAATGCCCTTTCCTAACAAAAAAGTAGTACCTTCAGTTCAAAAAAGTAGTACCTTCAGTTCAAAAAAGTAGTACCTCCGGAGAAAAAGTAGTACCTTCGCGGGTGTTTAAAAAATATGGTACCTGAACGCAAAAAAAGTAGTACCTTCAGTTCAAAAAAGTAGTACCTTCATGGAAAGGTATTTTAGGCACCACAATTTATAAACAGTAAAAAATCATGTGCCACCTCAGCAATTCATTTTAGAGAAATATGGAACTTTGACTCCGCCTCTAAGTAAATATGGAACTTTGACTCCATTTATATGTAATTTTCCCTTAATTAAAAGACAATTAGGCACAAATAAAATTCGTACTTCATCATCTCTCCGATGTCAACGCAATTGCAGAGAGATGATCAGTGCAGCAGTGGTTGTGGGGTGAGCGGTGGTTGTGCAGCGGGAACCATGGTGGTTATGGGACTGGTGGTTGCGATGTCGAAATCATGCGAACCATTCACAATTTCGATGACTGACGTCGTCGACTTTGGTGCCGGAGGCGATGAAGACGACGAGGGCTTGGAGGTTTCTCTGTAAACCCTTCCCATGCCCATACACAATCAACGAATCTAACGCTTTAATTTTTCCAGAATTATCCACACCAATTCGGTATTGGAATTGGATGGTGCTTGGAATTGAATGAATCAATGTCAATTGAGATCAGATCTAGGATTCATAAGCGAAATTGAAACGAATTGGATTGGTTTGGACTTCGAATTAGGTGATGCTTTATCTGAGAAACGAAATAGCTGCCGTTCAGAGAAAATCAAGGGTTACTGTTAACGAAGCTTCTGCAAATTCTGGAAGATGGAGCTTCAATGTGTTTGATTGAAACTAATTCTGGAAGTTGAAGCTTCAGGGTTACTGTTAACGAAGCTTCAATGTGTTTGATTGAACCCATTTTTTTTTTTTTTTTTTTTTTTTTTTTTTTTTTTTTCACTAATTGAACCTAATTTCACAAAACAAAGTCGGCGGCTGTGATGGCATCTTCCTATTTTAATTTTCGTGGTTGGGTTATAGAATTGGTGGTTGTGGTGGTGGTAGGGAGAGAGGAACGGTGTTGTGGTAGTGGACAGAGAGGAACGGTGCTGCTGGTGGTGGTGGTAGTTGTGGCGGTGGAGAGAGAGGAACGGTGGCGGTGGCGGTGGCGGTGGCGGTGGCGGTGGAGAGAGACCGAACATGATGCCGAACTTCAGACGGATCAACGTCATAGAAAATGGGCAAAATCAGTTGTCTTGAAGTTCCCTTGCACTCCACCATCTTGGCGAGCTCACGAAGGCACCATTTACTGAACGCATAGTTTTTGGAAAAAATTGGGATGCAGATCCTTGACTCTGTGATGGCTTTGAGGAGCTCTGATCCGATCTCTTCTCCTTTGCGAAGCTCGTTATTGTCTCAAAAGGTCCGAACTCCTACACAATCCAGATGGGTGTAAAGGAAATCAGTGAAGGTGAGGCGAGTGTCTGTACCTCTGAAACTCAAAAATACTTCGTATTCACCTCCGGGAGGGACGCTGACGGTGAGTTGAAAGCAGTGTTTGCACTTGCTTGAGAATCCATTTCGAAAGCAAAAGGAGAAGCCCGGATCTGTATCTCTTTCTAGGAGAAAGAAAAAAAAAAAAATCAAAACTATTAGATCAACATTCTGTCTGAATCAGCATCCAATTTGTTCTTTTTGTTATATAATAAATCCATCACTTACGAAACAAATAAATCATGACCATGTCTGAAACCCAACATATGAAACATGTTTGACAGAAGGGTTGCTCAAGCTAGATTCGTCCAAACAAAAAATATAGTTGGGCACATTCAAACAAACATGCTTGCAGAAATGGTAAGGTAATGAGCACGAGCATACAGGTTTTCCGTGTATATATATATATATATATACACGTCTGTGTGTGTATACAGGAGAATCTTGTAAGGGCCATATTGTCTTTTAATATCAATATTTTGGAAAAAAATAAATTACAAAAATGAGGCAGACCAAAGTCAAAGGGTCAAATCAAAGTCAAAAGGTAAGAATATCTTTTTACATGTAAAAAGTGATCTGACACACCTGTAAATTAACTTTTGGGGTGTGAGTGAAAAACGGATCAAACGTTTGTAATGTTAGTGATAGTTATTTTCGAAAGATGTTTTATACTGATATTTGGCCAAACCTCAGGAGGTGTCAGTGAAATTATCCATTATATAAATATTAAGGATATGTTTTCAGCTTTATATATATATTTTAATTATTTTTAATTAAAATCCCATTATTATTATTTTATTTATTTATAAGCAAGCCATTTATAAAACAATTAAAAACCATTGTTTGTTAAAAACAATACGAGAAAAAAATGTATCTAAAATGTATTTGTTTTTTTAAATGGAACGTCGTTTTTTTAAATGCACATGAATAAACACCCATCTGCAAAGCAGGTCGTTTTTTTAAAAATTAAAAATCATCTATATATAAAAATTAAGGATATGTTTTCAGCTTTATATATATATATATTTTATTATTTTAAATTAAAATCCCATTATCTTTATTTATTTACACCACTACCGCCAGGGTTAAAAAAAAAAAAAAAAACTACACCACTATCGATTGGTCCTGCCGTATAAAAAAGTAGAGGACATATAATTTTTTTACAATATATCTCTCTCTGGAATTTTTTTTTTTTTTTATATATTATAGGGTTCAAAAGAAGCCCAATTGGTTGAAGACACAGTTATTTCTTATGAAGTTTATCTTATTCGGAGTCTTAATACAATACTTATCCTTTGGTTGATTTATTATTTTTATCATCATAACAGAAGTTTAATATATTCTCTATATAAATAGTTCAATAAACCAAATTCCTTTCCGCATGATTTTCGATACAAGGATGAACGCCCGATATTTCAAAACTATCACAAAAAGTTTACGCATAAGAAAGAATAATTATCAAAATTTTGGTTGATTTATTTGGTCAACGTACACTGCATTTCATGAAGTAGATTGAAAAGAAAAAAAACAAAATTTTTTTAAATTTATTAAGAGTTTGGTTAGCATGAAAGAGGAAATTTTTAGGAAAGTAAATTTCTTGCAACCGCTTAATTTTCCTCAAAATGTTTCTACTTTTCCGTAAAAGTGGTTTCTTCATATCTTAGTTTCCTATTATGCTCATGTCACTTTTTCCACAAACTTCATTAATATGTCAGTTCCCTTCTATTGTAAATTGCTTATATAATAATGTAATAATAATTTAATTGTATATAGTTTTATACGTGCATACAAAATTAAAATTTTATTATAATTTCTTTCTTCCATAATTAATAATGATTTAGAGTGATATATATATATATATATATATATATATATATAAATCTGAATATTTAGGAACAGAGCGTTGGGTGAAAAACTAAGATTAGTATCTCTACTTATACAATTTACAATTTAATTGGTACATGTACTTTTTTATATATAGACTTCTCTCAATTTTAGGACTTTAGGTAAATTAGATGTACCAAACCAATTTAGTTTTAATTCTACATATATTAGATGTTTCAAATTAATTTAGTTGAAGCACTTTATTTCATTTAGGCTCAACTTTTTTTTTTTTTTTTCTATGACTAAAAGTATATATATTAACTTCAATCTTTTTTCTTAAATATTATTTGGAACAAAAATTTTTATTAATTAAACTTGTACCTATAATCACATATATCAACTTATTAAATATCATAAATCTTATAACTAAAAGGGTAGTTTTGACAACTACAATCACTTTCTTTTCACTTTCATGCTTTCAAAACTCACAAAATAATGTTTTCTTACAACTTCTTGAAAACCAAATGCATAATGAAAACTTAATTTTCTTTTCCTTTCTTTCACTTTCTTTTACTTTCACTTTCCTTCATAATTTTCCGTCTAACCAAAGGGTCTATGAGAGTTTGCTCATTTGATGTGATTTTATCTATTGATATGCCATTTTTTGTAAGTTTTTAAAGGCCTGCTTTTGCTTTATTAAAAAAAAAAATAATAAATAAATAAATAAATCAAGAAATGCATCTATCATGTGCTACGCATGTTGATTCTACTAGTCCCTTATAAAAGTGTTTATATACAATTTCAAACAACTATTTAAATTAAAAATATTATGTGACTTTCCCTTTTTAAAAACGAGTTCATATTTTCAGAGAGTTGTTTCTATTAACTTTTTTTT